GCCACCATTTTGAAAACCTATTTCAAACTTAAAGTCAAGTTCTGCTGGACCGATTGAACTGAAAGTTGGTAGGAATGATCGCCTCATGGTCCTGACAAAGTGTTGTTATTTTTTGGGTCGATCAGAAATCCAATATGGCCACCACGGCCGCCATTTTGAAAACCTATTTCAAACTTAAAGTCAAGTTCTGCTGGACCGATTGAACTTAAAGTTTGTAGGAATGATCGACTCATGGTCCTGACAAAGTGTTGTTATTTTTCAGGTCAATCATAAATCCAATATGGCCGCCACGGCCACCATTTTGAAAACATATTTCAAACTTAAAGTCAAGTTCTGCTAGGCCGATTGAACTGAAACTTTGTAGGAATGATTGACTCATGGTCCTGACAAAGTGTTGTTATTTTTCAGGTCGATCAGAAATCCAATATGGCCACCACAGCTGCCATTTTGGTAAACTATTTCAAACTTAAAGTAAAGATCTACTTGGCCGATTGAACTGAAACTTTGTAGGAATGATCGAATCATGGTCCTGACAAAGTGTTGTTATTTTTCGGGTCAATCAGAAATACAATTTGGCTGCCATGGCCGCTATTTTGCTACTAAGTTCTAATAGGCCGATCTCACTTAAAATTGGTCTAGGAATGATCAGCTCATGGTCCTGACAAAGTTAAGTTAACATTATACTATTTTTTACTCAAATTGGTACATATTTCAACAACAAAAATAAATACTATAGACTCAGGTGACCGTTAAGGCCCATGGGCCTCTTGTTTCTTTTAAACAGCAGTAGGTTCAGAAGAACATGTATGTTGGATATCATTTTGACTTATAAGACTTCATATTTGCTATCTTGTGTGACATGCAAGATAAATGTGCTGCATGCACCCACTTTCAGTGTGTGACCGTGATCCTAATATTTCATTCTATTTGTAGCTTTCCAAAAAAGGGATCTTTATGCTGCAGTTCTGATAAAACAATATGAAGAAATCGACCGCCAGTCTTCATTAATTCTACTGTATGTAAAAACAATTTTGATGATTGATTGTAACAGGAATCCACATATGGAACACACATTCACGAAAAGAGGGAGGACAGGGAGGCAAGGTTTACAGGACTGGTCCATGATATTGTAAGCAGGGGAGGTAGATGTCTCATCCCTGTGTTTGCGTTGGGTCGAGCCCAGGAGTTGCTGCTCATTCTAGGTAATGTCATACTAAAGTTATCAGAAATACAACCATCTGAAATTTTGACAAATTTGTTTTGTAGGAAGCCATTGAATTTTGGTTTCTTATTATTTTTTGCATGAAAATCAATGTCAAGTTATAGGGCACTGGCACAAGTGTCAATGATTTGTCATTGTCAAGTTATAGGGCACTGGCACAAGTGTCAATGGTTTGTCATTGTCAAGTTATAGGGCAATGGTTTGTCAATGTCAAATTATAGGGCACTGGCACAAGTGTCAATGGTTGTCAAGTTATAGGGCACTGGCACAAGTGTCAATGGTTTGTCAATGTCAAGTTATAGGGCACTGGCACAAGTGTCAATGATTTGTCATTGTCATTTGATGGAGGCTTCAAAATCTGATGTGGAAGTTTTTAGTGAAGCTACTTTAATTGAGACTGACAATCTTCTGAACTCATGATTCCAAATGCCAATATTTTTCTCTTCAAAAGTTGGTGTCAAGTCTTAGATTTTACTTGTATATTTAGAGATAGAAATAGTTAACTGTATATTTAGAGATAGAAATAGTGAACTGTATATTTAGAGATAGAAACAGTTAACCGTATATTTAGAGATAGAAATAGTGAACTGTATATTTAGAGATAGAAATAGTAAACTGTATATTTAGAGATAGAAATAGTGAACTGTATATTTAGAGATAGAAATAGTGAACTGTATATTTATAGATAGAAAAAGTTAACTATATTTAACCTAAAAAAAGTTAACTGTATATTTAGAGATAGAAAGAGTTAACCGTATATTTAGAGATAGAAATAGTAAATTGTATATTTAGAGATAGAAACAGTTAACCGTATATTTAGAGATAGGAATAGTTAACTGTATATTTAGGGAGAGAAAAAGTTAACTGTATATTTATAGATAGAAAAAGTTAACTATATTTAACCTAAAAAAAGTTAACTGTATATTTAGAGATAGAAATAGTTGACTAAAGGTGATGTTGTAGTTGTAATGTAATCAGAAACCCTATGGGTCAGCAGAGATTGACAGACAGAAAATGTTTCAGATGAGTACTGGAGTAATCACCCAGAGCTACACGACATCCCTATTTACTATGCCTCGTCCCTCGCCAAGAAATGTATGAGTGTTTACCAGACATACATCAACGCCATGAACGAAAAAATCCGTCGACAAATCACCATCAGCAACCCATTTGTCTTCAAACACATATCTAATCTCAAGGTAGGATCTATTAAAATGTAGAAAATCAATTCTGACTTATTTCAAGATACATATTTCTTAATCACTGCGATGGAGAAAACGTTTTCCTCAAGTTGTGTTATTTAATATTCGGGACTTCCACAGCTCGTGATATGTGACATAATCTATGATTCAGTTACTTCAAAGGTAACACAATCCCTGATTCACTTAAATCAAAATAACATTGTCCCTGATTCAGTTATTAAGAAATTATGATTCAAAATGACCATGTAATGACAAAATAAAGACACTCCATAATGTGAACAAAATGTCCAGAAATGTGTATTTGTGTAACATAACCCACTTACACTATGTTTTGTGTTAAATTTGTCAGTGATATTACTGTTGACAGTTATAGCTAGAGTGGAAGTGCCAACAACTGAATCATGAGGAGAGGTTGACAACTTCTGATAATATATACCTCCCCCAATGTAACACTACACAACAACAAACCGTGGAGTGTGATGGTATACACCTCCCCCAATGTAACACTACACAACAACAAACCGTGGAGTGTGATGATATATACCTCCCCCAATGTAACACTACACAACAACAAACCGTGGAGTGTGATGGTATATACCTCCCCCAATGTAACACTACACAGCAACAAACCGTGGAGTGTGATGATATATACCTCCCCCAATGTAACACTACACAGCAACAAACCGTGGAGTGTGATGATATATACCTCCCCCAATGTAACACTACACAGCAACAAACCGTGGAGTGTGATGATATATACCTCCCCCAATGTAACACTACACAGCAACAAACCGTGGAGTGTGATGATATATACCTCCCCCAATGTAACACTACACAGCAACAAACCGTGGAGTGTGATGATATATACCTCCCCCAATGTAACACTACACAGCAACAAACCGTGGAGTGTGATGATATATACCTCCCCCAATGTAACACTACACAGCAACAAACCGTGGAGTGTGATGATATATACCTCCCCCAATGTAACACTACACAGCAACAAACCGTGGAGTGTGATGATATATACCTCCCCCAATGTAACACTACACAGCAACAAACCGTGGAGTGTGATGATATATACCTCCCCCAATGTAACACTACACAGCAACAAACCGTGGAGTGTGATGATATATACCTCCCCCAATGTAACACTACACAGCAACAAACCGTGGAGTGTGATGATATATACCTCCCCCAATGTAACACTACACAGCAACAAACCGTGGAGTGTGATGATATATACCTCCCCCAATGTAACACTACACAGCAACAAACCGTGGAGTGTGATGATATATACCTCCCCCAATGTAACACTACACAGCAACAAACCGTGGAGTGTGATGATATATACCTCCCCCAATGTAACACTACACAGCAACAAACCGTGGAGTGTGATGATATATACCTCCCCCAATGTAACACTACACAGCAACAAACCGTGGAGTGTGATGATATATACCTCCCCCAATGTAACACTACACAGCAACAAACCGTGGAGTGTGATGATATATACCTCCCCCAATGTAACACTACACAGCAACAAACCGTGGAGTGTGATGATATATACCTCCCCCAATGTAACACTACACAGCAACAAACCGTGGAGTGTGATGATATATACCTCCCCCAATGTAACACTACACAGCAACAAACCGTGGAGTGTGATGATATATACCTCCCCCAATGTAACACTACACAGCAACAAACCGTGGAGTGTGATGATATATACCTCCCCCAATGTAACACTACACAGCAACAAACCGTGGAGTGTGATGATATATACCTCCCCCAATGTAACACTACACAGCAACAAACCGTGGAGTGTGATGATATATACCTCCCCCAATGTAACACTACACAGCAACAAACCGTGGAGTGTGATGATATATACCTCCCCCAATGTAACACTACACAGCAACAAACCGTGGAGTGTGATGATATATACCTCCCCCAATGTAACACTACACAGCAACAAACCGTGGAGTGTGATGATATATACCTCCCCCAATGTAACACTACACAGCAACAAACCGTGGAGTGTGATGATATATACCTCCCCCAATGTAACACTACACAGCAACAAACCGTGGAGTGTGGTGATATATACCTCCCCCAATGTAACACTGCACAACAACAAACCGTGGAGTGACAACCATGCTCCCACATTCTCCTATTTATACTCCCTTCTCCCTTCCAGAGCATGGAGCATTTTGAGGACATTGGTCCGTCTGTAGTGCTGGCCAGTCCTGGTATGATGCAGAGTGGACTTTCGCGGGAACTGTTTGAGAACTGGTGTACAGATAAACGTAACGGCTGTATTATCGCTGGCTACTGTGTGGAGGGTACTCTGGCTAAGGTAAGTACAGGTGTACAGACGGACAAACATAATGACTGTATATCACAGGTCTGGAGGGTAATCTGGCTAAGGTAAGTACAGGTGTATTATCACAGGTAACTGTGTAGGGGGTACAGATGTACAGACAGACAAACATAATGACTGTATATCACAGGTCTGAAGGGTAATCTGGCTAAGGTAAGTACAGGTGTATTATCACAGGTAACTGTGTAGAGGGTACTCTGGCTAAGGTAAGTACAGATGTACAGACAGACAAACATAATGACTATATCACTGGTCTGGAGGGTAATCTGGCTAAGGTATGTACAGGTGTATTATCACAGGTAACTGTGTGGAGGGTACTCTGGCTAAGGTAAGTACAGGTGTACAGACGGACAAACATAATGACTGTATATCACAGGTCTGGAGGGTAATCTGGCTAAGGTAAGTACAGGTGTATTATCACAGGTAACTGTGTAGGGGGTACAGATGTACAGACAGACAAACATAATGACTGTATATCACACGTGTGAAGGGTAATCTGGCTAAGGTAAGTACAGGTGTATTATCACAGGTAACTGTGTAGGGGGTACAGATGTACAGACAGACAAACATAATGACTATATCACTGGTCTGGAGGGTAATCTGGCTAAGGTATGTACAGGTGTATTATCACAGGTATCTGTGTGGAGGGTACTCTGGCTAAGGTAAGTACAGGCGTACAGACAGACAAACATAATGACTGTATATCACACGTGTGAAGGGTAATCTGGCTAAGGTAAGTACAGGTGTATTATCACAGGTATCTGTGTAGAGGGTACTCTTGCTAAGGTAAGTACAGGTGAACAGACAGACAAACATAATGACTGTATATCACAGGTAACTGTGTGGAGGGTACTCTGGCTAAGGTAAGTACAGGTGTAAAGACAGACAAACATAATGACTGTATATCACAGGTAACTGTGTGGAGGGTACTCTGGCTAAGGTAAGTACAGGTGTACAGACAGACAAACATAATGACTGTATATCACATGTGTGAAGGGTAATCTGGCTAAGGTAAGTACAGGTGTATTTTCACAGGTAACTGTGTAGAGGATAATCTGGCTAAGGTAAGTACAAGTGTACAGACACAAACGTAACGGCTGATTATTTTAGGTTACTGTGTGGAGGATATCTGTCTTAAGATATGTACTGGTAAAGTGAACAGACAGGTAAACGTAACAGCTGTATCACTGAAGGTAAGTGTAAGAACGTAAAACTGATCAAGATAACGTGCCTTCTGTGACAAAACTAGTTTGTATACAAGGGTACTAGAATACATCAAGGGTACTGGCTAGAAAACGTTTTGAAAAATAGTTTTCAACTTTTTTGATGACGTTACAAATTATGTAAGATAAAAGAAAAGGAAACTGACCAATAGTGGTTGGTCTTGGATAACTAACCAGACAGTTATATTTAACAGAGAAAAATCTGGTTTAATATTACTACTATACAGTGAAGTCTTTCTTGATATTCGTAAGATTTGATTACAGTTACTGATATATGTTGACAAAATGTTTTTGCCTGATTGTAGCACATTTTATCGGAGCCTGATGAGATCGTGACGATGGCAGGGCAGAAGTTACCAATGAAGTGTTCAGTAGATTACATATCCTTCTCAGCTCATACAGACTACCAACAGACCAGCGAGTTCCTGCGGGCACTCAAACCGCCACATGTGGTGAGTTACACACTGGGATAGGAGAACAAGTACAGATTTACCAAGATGTTTACAGTCTACATTATGGTGTATTGTCATGCCACCAGAAAGGCCTGGCCCAAGTCAAGGTCATCAGGAGCATTTCTGTTTAAGTCAGTAGCATTGTTCATCTACTTTTAAATGAAACAATTAGAAATATAGCCTGGCAAACCGTTCATGAAGACCTTGAAAGTTGTTGTCAGCACTCCCCAGATGTTGATGTCAGAGCACTGGGTTTGTCCCTGTCACAACTCTGCTCCAACCAGTACCAGCGATAGTGTTTCCCTGTGTCCAAGTCAAATATAAATAATATCAAGTCAAATATAAATAATATCAAAACAGATATTCAGTGTAAACATTGTGTAGTGTCAACTCGCCAGCAAGGTCAGGCTAAAGTCATGGTCCTTGACTGTGCCTGCAAGAAAAGAGTGTTGAATTTTAGCTCAGGCAAGTGCTTAGACCTTTACTACACCCCTGTAATATAATGGAGTTAGTAAATGTTTGTTAAAATTTCCCATACAATTTCCTTGATCTTTGTCTTTCAAATTGTACTTTAAACACATATGTAAGGTTTCCATATGTATTCAGATACTTGTCCATGGAGAACAGAATGAGATGTCACGTTTAAAGGCTGCACTGATCCGAGAGTACGAGGATGACACGGAGTACCAGATGCAGGTTCACAATCCACGTAATACAGTCCCTGTTACCCTCCACTTCCGGGGGGAGAAGATGGCCAAGGTATTTATCTAGTCACCGCAGGAGAAATTTAAATTGTAATTTATAAATCTTATTAATCCACCATTTGCTATCCAGACAGCCATTTATCAATATCACATTGAAGGGTACCAGACAAGTGCAAATTTTGCCATAGCACCTAATGCATATGATAAAGTGTGTTGGTCAAATGTTCACAGACACCTCTCACTGACCACATGGTTACATTAAGTGTACAACCAAACACTATAACTTGTTGTTAACAAACAAATGTGCTGTTCAGGGCCATTAACAAGGCGACATTGCTTTAGAAATATTTAAGGAAGAAATGGAAGTACAATATCATAATGAAGGTCATGATCAGCAAAAGTCGTAGAACCATCATTTTCAAATTATTGGTCTATGGTTTACATGAAGCGATAAGAGGTCACAGGATTTTGCATCCCACCATTTATATAGATGTCAGTTTATGAAGTCACTGCTCACGAATTTCAAATGTGCTAGTAAGGTATTTGGTTCAATTCATAGATTTTTGTGTGTTTGTACAGGTTGTCGGAAAGTTGGCCGCAGAAAAACCTAGCAAGGACCAGAAGGTGACGGGGATTCTAGTGAAACGAAACTTTAACTACCACATCATGCATCCAAGTGATCTGTCAAGTTAGTACAATGTCACTGTTAGATATAACCTATGGTGAAAGTCTCCATTAGCAGTGATCACAACTGGGTGGAGGATGGAACTACAATTAAATCTTTATCTGTTCATTATAAGATTGAAGTGATATAACTATCTTATTGCCTTGATCACCACCATCACGTTTCCTGTTTCTGCCTGATATTTATTGAGATCTGCTGTATATGTAGGCTACACCGACCTGGCGATGGCCACAGTGACACAGAGATTGAGTATAGCATACACTGGGACCATCAACTTGCTGCGGTACTACCTCAATCAGTTGTCTGGAGACGTGGAACAGTACATGGCCAACGACAAACCCGCCTTAAAGATTTTCAAGGTCGTCACTGTACTGGTGGAACCAAAGATGGCTGTTGTTGAGGTAACCTTTCTTTACATCTGTAATGAAATTTAATGTCATTATTATACTTCACCCAAATCGTACCTATTAGTCTCCCACCAGTACTTCCAGGGGGGTTATAGGTTTGCACTGCGACTGTCACCCATGGATCTCTTTGTTCAAGACCTTTCTCAAGTTCTCTGCCACATACAAATTTTGTATGCAAGTACCTCTTGGTATGGCAGAGTGGGGTGTACTAGTGTAGGTCATGTGCCCCATACAAACTATGTATTCAAGTTACTCTCGGGATGGCAGAGTACTAAAACTAGGTTGTGTGCCCCACTATACAAAGAGTTATGGTCCTTTGTATGTTTTTGAAAGTTTGTCCATAGAAAGGAGCTAAAGATTTCCTACACATAAATAACATGTATCCATTTATCATTAGTTCAGAGATATTTTGACATCACTTTTAACGAGCCACTTTTATCTTTGTAAAGAATTTTATTTTACATTTTTGAAATAAATTCAGTTTTGTATTATAGGATATTTTTTGTTTCCATTCATCTGACTTTGATGTGTATTTTTAGGTCACCTGAGCTTTAGCTCAAGTGACCTATTGCTATCCGTTTTCGTCCGTCGTCGTCCGTCGTCCGTCGTCCGTTAACATTTTACATTTCAAACTTAAAGTCAAGTTCTGCTGGGCCGATTGAACTGAAAGTTGGTAGGAATGATCGCCTCATGGTCCTGACAAAGTGTTGTTATTTTTCGGGTCGATCAGAAATCCAATATGGCCGCCACGGCCGCCATTTTGAAAACCTATTTCAAACTTAAAGTCAAGTTCTGCTGGACCGATTGAACTGAAAGTTGGTAGGAATGATCGCCTCATGGTCCTGACAAAGTGTTGTTATTTTTCGGGTCGATCAGAAATCCAATATGGCCGCCACGGCCGCCATTTTGAAAACCTATTTCAAACTTAAAGTCAAGTTCTGCTGGACCGATTGAACTGAAAGTTGGTAGGAATGATCGCCTCATGGTCCTGACAAAGTGTTGTTATTTTTCGGGTCGATCAGAAATCCAATATGGCCGCCACGGCCGCCATTTTGAAAAACTATTTCAAACTTAAAGTCAAGTTCTGCTAGGCCGATTGAACTGAAACTTTGTAGGAATGATCAGCTCATGGTCCTGACAAAGGTTTGTTATTTTTCGGGTTAATCAGAAATACAATTTGGCTGCCATGGCCGCTATTTTGCTACTAAATTCTAATAGGCCGATCTCACTTAAAATTGGTCTAGGAATGATCAGCTCATGGTCCTGACAAAGTTAAGTTAACATTATACTATTTTTTACTCAAATTGGTACATATTTCAACAAAAAAAAAAAAAAACTGTAGACTCAGGTGACTGTTAAGGCCCATGGGCCTCTTGTTATTAATCATGTGAAAATAACTAATGATTCATTATATTGTTACAGTATGTCCCTCTCTGTTTTACGGGGGAATATTTATTGTTTACCGTGTCCATACCATCCTTTGTCCTATCACCTTGTGTCCCCTCCCAATTCACTGTCATGGTGGTAACAACTTCGTTTCATTACAAATTTAGAACAAAATTTATAAAAAGGTATACAAAAATATCTTAAATGATTCAAACTTCAGATACCAAAGGTCAGGGTGATGATGACCATTTATAGAACCTTTTTTCAAAAAACGTTACATTTTTAAGTCTCATTAAATTTAATAAGGTGGTGAATTAAATAAGTTCTGAAACTTTATTGATAAATTCGTTATCTGATTAAAGTATCGGAGTGAAGGATCATTGCAGTAATGTTATGTGTTGTAGTGGGTTGCTAACCCAGTGACAGACATGTATGCTGATGCTGTTGTTACTGTCGTACTCCGAGCAGAGACGGACCCAATGCCACATAAGTGTGAGTATACAAAATTCTTCTGTGGTGATGGATGAGTATAGTAAGGCTGTAAACTTCACAACATATGTAAACATTTAGTTGTAAACCTCACAACATATGTAAACATTCAGTTGTAAACTTCACAACATATATAAACATGCACTTGTAAACTTAACAACATATGTAAATATTCAGTTGTAAACTTCACAACATATGTAAATATTCACTTGTAAACTTAACAACATATGTAAATAGTCACTTGTAAACTTCACAACATATGTAAACATCCAGTTGTAAACTTCAAAACATATGTAAACATCCAGTTGTAAACTTCACAACATATGTGAACATTTAGTTGTAAACCTCACAACATATGTAAATATTCAGTTGTAAACCTCACAATATACGTAAATATTCACTTGTAAACTTCACAACATGTGTAAACATTTAGTTGTAAACTTAACATCATATGTGAACATTTTGTTGTAAACCTCACAACATATATAAATATTCACTTGTAAACTTCACAACATGTGTAAACATTTAGTTGTAAACTTAACAACATATGTGAACAATAAGTTGTAAAGTTCACAACATATGTAAACATTCACTTGTAAACTTAACAACATCTGTAAATATTCACTTGTAAACTTCACAACATGTGTAAACATTTAGTTGTAAACTTAACACCATATGTGAACATTTTGTTGTAAACCTCACAACATATATAAATATTCACTTGTAAACTTCACAACATATGTAAATATTCACTTATAAACTTCACAACATATGTAAACATTTAGTTGTAAACCTCACATCATATGTAAACATTTAGTTGTAAACCTCATAACATATGTAAACATTCAGTTGTAAACCTCACAACATATGTAAATATTCAGTTGTAAACTTCACAACATATGTGAACATTTTGTTGTAAACCTCACAACATATATAAATATTCACTTGTAAACTTCACAACATGTGTAAACATTTAGTTGTAAACTTAACAACATATGTGAACAATAAGTTGTAAAGTTCACAACATATGTAAACATTTAGTTGTAAACCTCATAACATATGTAAACATTCAGTTGTAAACTTCACAACATATATAAACATTTAGTTGTAAACCTCACAACATGTGTAAACATTTAGTTGTAAACTTAACAACATATGTGAACATTTTGTTGTAAACTTCACAACATATGTAAACAATAAGTTGTAAAGTTCACAACATATGTAAACATTCACTTGTAAACTTAACAACATATGTAAATATTCACTTGTAAACTTCACAACATATGTAAACATTTAGTTGTAAACTTAACAACATATGTGAACATTTTGTTGTAAACCTCACAACATATGTAAACATCCAGTTGTAAACTTCACAACATATGTAAACATTTAGTTGTAAACTTAACAACATATGTAAACATTCAGATGTAAACCTCACAACATATATAAACATCCAGTTGTAAACTTCACAACATATGTAAACATTCACTTGTAAA